TGTGGTGATTTTTCTGAAAGTTAGCAGAATCAAAACATTAAATAAATGTTTGTCAAATAAAAGAAATTGCAAACGTAGTTCTATACAAACCGTCCAATAAGCTAAGTTCAGGATAATAATACTTTAATGTTTTACTAATTGCCCTTGGTGAAAAATCGAAATCGATTCAAAAAGACCTGAAAGTCCATAACAGCATTTCTTTTTTTTTAAATATCTGTATCTCCTAGTTTTTACTTGCTTCATTCAAATTAGAGAAAAAAAAAGCACTATTTTTTAAAAGATAAACTTTTAGAAAATCTACGTTTATTATTATATATATAGGTTAGATTTGAAACGTTGAGGTCTTGATTATCGAAATCGAAGCAAAACCATTTCGCTATCATGTATTATTATTATTATTATTATTATTATATATAACTTTAATACGGTTGTTATTGCGAATCAGGAATCCGCAGGTAATAAAATGCAAAGTAATGTAGGGTAAAAGAGGTTCTTTGACCTTGTTTCGATGTTTTATGAGCTGTTTGATACTTGACATGTTAAAATGTAAAATTAGCCTACCATTTCCAACATGTAGTCCTTCAAATTTGGAGTTATAAATGAAAACTATAGTAAACATCTTATCTGGTAAAGAAAGCGGAAAAGATCATTTTTCACAACGCCTGATAGTTTTTTATAGGTATGGAAATGATTACTTGTTGTCATGCAAGCAGAACATCAGGTGATGAAATTGCTAAATCTAAAAATCAAAAGACATTAAATGATATTGATATTGCACAGTTATCCGATGAAGTTTTAAATATTGATATTAATAAAGGTAAGTTAGAACTTCATTTTTTTTTTACTTAATTAATAAGTTGATTAAGTATGTTTGTCGTTGTTTCACAATAGTAAAGGAAAAAGAATTAAAGCTGATGAAATTGAAAATTTGCTATTGATAATATTAATATTAATTAGTACAAATTAGATTTTTCAAAGTTGGAACAACCTTTGAAAACCTTTATCCACTAGTAAAAAATCACAAATATTATTTTATTTTCAAAATAAAAAAAAATAATTTTATTATATTAATGCATATTATTATTAGATGTATAAATAAATAAAAATAGACCAATTAAACTTTTTTTTTATATAAATCTATTAATCTTTTAATTCCCAATAACCATTTTCCTTCTTTTTCAAAATCTGTTGTCATCAGATTACCTTGAATTGTTAAAGCATTAGCAAAATCCCGAGACTCTAAACCTGTAAAACTTTTTAGATTAAATTGTCATAAACTCT